TTTTGGGTTGTAGCAGAAGTTTTTTTCAGAAGCTGAAAAGGTTTTTTTTCCTGAAGCACTTTTGAAACCTTGACCAAGCACAAATTGTAGATCTAATATAGGTCAAAGGATTTGAAAAGACTTCCCAAATGAAATTTCCAGACACAAACTGCTATCTTTTTATGTAGTAGAGGCATATAAATAACAAAAGCATTGAGGAAATGTAGGTTACAAAATAAAGGAAGAACAATCTGTAAAAAGACAAGGGAGCTGATAAATTCAGTAAAAGAGTATGGGCTATTCTCACTTCATCAGAAAAAAAAAAGACAAGGATTCACCAAAAGCTTTTTTACTGCAAAAGCACTTCTTAAAATAAGTAGATTATAGAAGCATTACAAGTCTAGTCTGAGAGGTTTTAGGCATTTTGAGGGAACTTCCAATGTGTGATTATAGGATTCTTCGCCTCCTATTAATACTTTTTTCTCAATAAGTGATGGAGAGTTCTCCTTCATTACCTTCAATCATCTTATTGTTAAACAACTCCCAATCGGTGGATTTAAAAGTTAATGAAAGATAAGACCTAATAATCTCTAGCAATCTTCTCCGATTTCGTCCTCTATATTTGTTCTTTGCGTCTTCTACCAGGTCTAATCAATTTTCATATTATTTTTTGATAAATAATTAGAGCACAATAATTCATGTCGCTGAAAATGGATCATTTTTAATATGTCCAATCTTGTATTATTGTAAACCACCTCTTCATTATACAGAAGAAAATATTATTAATGTACAAGGACAAGGACTAAGCTAATGTTGGACATTACAAAAATGGGAGGCCCATGTATACAAAATACAAATACAAATCATACGACATTCATCGTGTGGACACATGGACACATTAACCCTCGGACCCCCACATTTACACCCATATGTCATTGTTGTTTCCATATAATTGTGTTGGTCACACAACAGCTTTATAAATTTGCATAAAATGTTGTTAGGTGTCTTCTTTTTTTGAGAATGTTATTCTGCTAGGCTTCTCTTGGTCGTATAGTAGTCTCGTAATAATATTGTAATACTCATTTTTCAACCATATCTTTTCTTAATGACCGTGGTGTCCGCCTAGTTTTCACGCAACTAGACCCATTTCAACCATATTATTCTAATTCAACGTGTTACATCTTCATCTATGATCCATCCCATCATTCTTCCAGAAGACTAAACACCGCACATTTAGGTTGTTAGCATTAGCCACAAACAATCCCAAATTATCCAATTCGCGGTTATCTTCTTATCCTAAAACCCTTACACAATAAAGTGCTTCTCACAACCAAACTTCCAGCCCACTCCCTCACATGTTAAACTTCAAACAATCTATCAAAGCTATACATCTACATAAAAATCAACACCAGCTAGCCAGACTTGTTCAATTTATGCCCTCGTTTATCCCTGACATTGTCTAACCTCACAAAAGGTGGACGATGTTGAATATTGTGTGTCAATACAAACACAAAATAGATTTGTGATCTATCACATTAAGTTCGTTTTCTTGTTCCCTCAATAACATAACAAAATCCGCAATGAGACTATACACAAATTTCAATTCTTTTTTTCCAAAAAAAATCCTGGGAAATGCAAACTAACCATCAATGTCAACAACTCAGAAAGTCCCATGGTATGGGAAAACTTTCTCCTGACGCCTAACAAAAAAGTTGACTTTTAGATTTAACATACAAATCAATAATGCAGGTCCACTTTCAGTAAGACTGATCAGTACCGAAACAACAAAACTTAGTCTAATATCAACTGCAGAGGGATGAATATTATAGATTACAAAATCCATAAGAATTCAACAGGATACAAAGCAAACATAGAAGACATAACACAAGTACCTTCTGAAATGAAACTGAACCAAAACATAAATGCTAGAGTAGCACTGCGAAAAAACCCAGCAAATATGATTTTTTTGAGCTAGCTACCTTTAACCAAGCCCAAGGCTTTGACATGTGTCCAAAAGTGAAATACTTTTTGGTAACGCCGTAATATATTCTGAGACAGTTTATGTATTTCTATATCAAACGGAAAGACAACAACAAAAGCAAATTCCCCTCGGACCCACTTCATAAAGACTCATACCTAGAAATCCCCTAACCCAATGACTCACACTTCGAAATTCACTGTATAATTGGCCTTCTCCACAATAAAAGAACAAAGTAAACTCCAACTCAAAATAAAACAGGTACCAGGTCAAGTCTCAATAAAGAAGTTCCACAATACCTCAGCAGCCAAAATGCACAATACATAGTCAAATTCTACTTAAAAATCCAATTCCAGCTAGTTCGAAATTGAGACATAATCAATTCCATGATAATTGATTTCAAAGGGGGGAAAAGCTAAATCAGTGTGACTTTAGTCCTTGGGGTTACAAAGCAAAGAAACGAATTTTCGACAGCTCAAATGCAAAGACAGCGACAAAAGCAAATCCCCCTCGACCAGTGGCTCACATTCGAAATTCACTGTATAATTGCCCTGCCCCTCACCCCTCTCCCCTTCATAAGCACGTTTATCACACTTCTTACCTCAATCTTCAAACCCAAAAAAAAAAAAGACCTCCAACTCAACCTACAGTTGCAAAACATATCCTGTCCCAATAAAGGAGGTTCACAATACCTTAATAGCTAACATAAAATAGTTAAACTAAAATCACATATACTCAAAATCTAGATAGTTCCGAATTGAGACGTAATTAATTCTATAATAATTAATTTCAAAGAAACAAACAAAAAATGAGCTAAATCAGTGTGAATTCAGTCCTTAGGTTATATAAAGCAAAAGCAACGATTTTTCCAACTGAAAATCAACGAAACTAACCTGCATCGGATTACTAGAGTTTGATGACTTCTCTTGAGCACCCATAGAAACTTCTACAACCCAAATTTCACACTGCCTGCTGTTTTCGGGAGAAATGATTAAAATTAGGGTTTTTGAGTTGCAAAAAAAAAGGGGGCAAAGAGAGGAAGAGATAGAAATGAAGTATTTTAGGTTATTTTGGGTATAAACTTGGGATCAATTCAAAACCCTAACCGCCATTGATGAGTAGTGAATCTTCTCTTCTTTCTCTCTCTTCTTTCTCTCTCTTCGTTTCTTTTTCTTCTGAAGTGTTCGTGCCTGACCTGACCTTTGGGAATACAGAAGCAGTACATTTGTTGATTGTACAAAATGACTTTAATGCCCTTAGATTGTGAGAAAAATATTGAAATTGCCACGGATGAAAAATAATATAAAAAAATATTTATATTGAATAAACTAGAATATTTATAATAATAAAACGACGGGATTCGTAGAGTAATATGTGCAACCTTTTATTAGAAGCTTTCGACTTAGAAGTTTGTTCGGCCTTCTTTTTGACTCGCCCTTTGTTTCGGGCTTAAGATACATCGCTTTGGGATTTGGTGTGCTCGTTGAGGTTTTTCTACCTTTATAGTGAGAGATAGACGACTACAATATCATATTTGTTAAAATGCAATCTCGCATATTTATTTTGGTTAGATGAATATCGCAAATTCGTATATTAGACAATGCTATAGCCCAGAAAACGAGTGTACCTATGAACTTTGTGATATGCATTATCAAGCTATGCACTTTTCATCTCTCCTTTTGATGTGAGATTCATCTAAAGTGTGATGTATATTGATTAACCTCCGATATAAGTATATTCCAATAGCAATTTTAGAATTTTTTACATACAAATTTTACGATATAACTTATCTATTTGATCAAAGTGTCTTACAATTTAACAGTAATAACATATAGTCTCGCAAATGACCTATGAGAAAGGTGTATTTGTTGTCTTTAATTTTTAAATTTACACTTTAAGTATGAGATATTGTCATTTTGGTCTTTTCCTCATGGCCCAAAAAGATTTATTTATAAAAAACAAAATATCTTATATTGCTAAGTTGATTGTTTAGACATAAAAAAACACATATGATCATCCTTAACAACTAAAAACTTGGATGATATACACATGTGAAACAAATAAGGAAAACTAATCTTAACTAACTTTGGGAACATTTTAAATTCATCATTATCAAAACTCAAAAAAGTAGAAAAATGTATTTTATTAGTTATACAATGATATTGTATGGCACTAAGAATCATATAATAAACTACTCCTCTTTGATAGTTTTTTTTGGCAAAGAAGGCTTAGTTTAGTTGATAGACACTAATGTTCTTGATTAAAGGTTGGAGTGTTTCCCAATAGATCAAAAAGTTAAAGTAGCGTTTGATCATAAAATTTTAAATATACGTGATAAATATTAATTGAGTAAAAATTTAAGTAAAATTTATCATTTGTTTGTCCATAGTATTTAGAAAATATATTTCACTTTTTTAGAAAAATATGATTTATATCCATAAGTTTTAAAAACTATCAAAACTAACCATAAATTTGTATTACAGATCAATTGAATCTTTGTTGCAACAAATAACCAGTAGTATCCATGACGCTAAAGCAATGTTATAGTCTGAAGCGAGTGCAATAAACATCATTCAGGACATTGTGAAATAAACAAAGCTCAGGACTTTGTTACCATGAACCGATTATTCATCATTTTTATCAACAATCATATCATCATTTTCATGTTCACTTAATATTTCATAAGTACATTAGTATTCACATACAAAATAATGTAATACAACATAAACAACTATGTACTTCGGTAAAATATAAAAGTTTGATGTAAAATATCAATTTTTAAAAAATCCCAAGTAATGAGAATTGACCCATTTCTAGAAAAAACTAGTATTTAGAAATCTGCCAAAAAATGACAAATTGTATGGACAAACACTATTTGACAAATTTTTTCCCAAATATTATTTGAAAAATCTATGACCAAACAGGTCCTTAAGAAAGACAATTCACATATGCAAAAAAACAATTATCTTGAATAAGCAAATCCATAAACCAGATGACATTTCACAAAAGACTATACATCAACAAATCATACAACACTAATTGGAGTATGCTATGTGAATCCTCCAAATTGAGAGCCTTCTTCAATCCCTTTTCAGTCTAACTATATAATTGTATCCCTTTTCAGTCCAACTAAATAATTGTATTACAAGACAAACTAGAGATTTCTAAATTATAATAATGAACAAGACTGAAAAACACAGCAACTGTACAAATGACGAATTGCTAAATAAGCATAACAACACGTAATGGCGTAAAATTGAACTGTTCCCATTGAAAGAGTAATAAATAGTCAAGACAAGGTTGCATACTAACTCTCAAGTATCCTTACAAATACCAAAACATCAAAAAACTCAAAGATTGTCTGTCATAATAAATAGCCCATTATTATAACGATTCATTTACTTCTCAGCGGATTTAACACTCTTCGGGTTGTGCTTCCTAGCATACCTCTGGTTCCTCAAAAACTTGGGATCCATCTGCATTCCAACATAAAAATAAAAAAAATCACCAAACTAAAGTATAACAACAGATCATCTTCTTCTTTGTTACTGTTTTCATAAGCAAATCCATAGTCTTGTATCGGTGGATATAGAATATAACTACACCTACTATTACTCTGTGGCAGTGATAGAACTTAGGATAACCAAGTATTTTGGTTCAAAACTGCTCATATATGGTTTACATTTTCCCGCGATTTACATCTACATATCCAAATAGTTTGAAGTCTAGAGGAGAATCAACAGAAAGAGAACAGATGTTTTTTTAATCATAAGAAAATTCATGAATCTATATCAGCAGATACAAATATTTTGACACCTACTATTACTTGTCCACTGCAGTGGTAAAAAATAAAAATAAAAATAAAAAAGAGAAACAATGTGTGTGGAGGGGATCATAAGCAAATCCGTCAGAGTTTATATCATCAGATACACACCTAATACTACATGTAGCAGTGGTAGAACTCAGCATGACTACATATTATGTTTTAAAACTGTTCATAATATATAAAAGATCGACATTCACCGATTTTAATAACCATAAATCCACATACAAACTAAGGAGAAAAGATAAGATTCTTAATCATAAGCAAGTCCGGGATTTCAAATACCTTTGCACCTACTATGGTTGTGTGGCAGTAATAGAACTAAGTATAACTACATCATTTGATTAAGAAACTGTTCATATCATATATATGGTCGAAATACACCCAACTAAGTTACCTCACATCTGTGTTTTAGCTCAACAAATGCACTCTCTTCCATCACTACTACCATATGCAAAATAGCAAATCCATGAATATCTATATACTATCAACATATAAGGATATCTTTACACCTACAATTACTTTGACACAGTGATAGAATCTGTCCACACATATTTTGCTTTTAAAACTGCTCATATTATATATAGAGAGTCTACATTGGCCAGATTAAGTAACCTTACATCTGCATTATATTTATACCACTAGACAGAAAAATCACCAAACTTTTGTATTATTTTTTATCTGCATTGATAGGTTAGAGATCACCAAACTTCAGTATAACAACAAAAGCACTTTCTATTTCATCAATTCTACGTTCTCCATAAGCAAATCCATGAAATATCTTTACACCTACTATTATATTACATCGCGTCAGTGTTAGAGCTTAGAATAACAGCATATTTTGTTTCAGAAACTGTTCACACATATACACATTCATCAAACTGAATAACCTTAACATAACATATCCAAATAGTTCAAAAAATCTCATAAAAATAAGCATAGAAAGGAGAAAAGTTGGGTTTTTTAACAGACCCCTTTGGTGGAACTGTGACGATGCTTCCTGGGTTTCTTGATTCCATTCCTGTGTGCTTTGTAGGACTGATTATGGGCTGTGTGATTCTTCGACTTGGCCATTTCTTCTCAAAGTAGCTGCTATAACAAAAATAAACAATAATAAGGAAAAATCCGATAAAAAATCAGCTCAAAAATCTCAATTTTTTCGACGGCGGTTGGGGTACCTGTTGCCGGCGATTAGGGATTTTACCAGTGAGGAAGAAAGTGAAAGAGGAGTATGAATTAGGGTTCTTATGGGTTTGAAACCCTAAAGCTATGTGAAATGACGAAAATAGCCTTTGATTTGGTTTTGGTGTAGTATGGGCCTAGATTCTTTTGCGTAATAGTCAATTTTTTCTCTTTGTGAAGTGTACACATGACTATTTAAAAACTAACTAAAAGTATTTAAAGTTTAATCGCTTTATAATCAACTTTGTATTGTATTCGGGAGGTTTAAAATCAATGTATGAACACAAAAGTTATTAAAAATACCTTATATATACAATGTCCGCCACTAGGGTCGATGTTTTAAATGATATCATTATTATCTAAAGCTTTGAAGTGTTAAAAATTCAAACTCTTAGTCGTGGATATGAAGTTTGTTTAAGTAATGTAAATTCTTATCTAGATATGTTACGGTAAATAATCATTTTTTATAGAAAAAAATAGTAACGATAAATAACCGATAACTAATAAGTTCATATCTTAATGGTTCTTAATGATTTAACATGTTTTACAAACTAATGAACTTCAAAACCGAACTGAACCAACTGATACACAAACCTACGACAAACTATTAAATTAATGATCCCTCCATTCCTTCTTAACAACTATTTTGAAATAAGTATTTGATAGTATACATGACAATTAAAAAAGAACGGACGTAGTATATTCTACTTAAGTATTTTGTCGATCTGGTTATCTCTTCTATGTATATGTGTGTATTTCCTTCATCAGCTTTTTGGTTCTTCGTTTACTCTTGTCTCTTGCTAGAATTTGTTTCTTTTTTGTGCATCTTCAGTATGTTTTCGTAACTGAATTTGGGGTTTTTTGGTTCTTTTGCCTAAACCCACTGCAGCCAAAACATATGAAATGCTTGTAAATTGTCCTCTTAGTCCATCTCAGTGTCAGGATTGAGAGTCCCTTCGTATTCCAGCTGCAATAAAAAAAATAAAGTTGGTAAAATATAGGCGATAAAAGCACTCAACTTTTGTATCTGATTGTATCTCACAACATAGGGAAACGGCTCAAATATAATATCGAACTTTGAGAAAAGGTTCATTTATCGATGATATATTTGTGTTTTTTCCCCTCACGATTACCGTTGCTTTATCATGTTCCAACTTCATCCTCCTATATTGTTCTTGTGCTTGCTTTGAACGAAACATGGCTTGAACTCGCACAACAGATCTTTCAATACGCTCTTCAGCTTGTTTCCTACTGGCTTGAAAGAAATCCTCCTCCACATCATCTGGTTTGGTTACTTGAGTAGACTGGAGTTTAAGCCCGCGGAGACCTTTCCTCTTCAAACGCCATCGAAATAATGCCTTTTCAAGCACTCCTACTGACCAAATTATCTTCCGGTACTGTCTTCGGACTTGGAAACCCCGGAACACAGCCTGCATTAAACCAGAAGCAGGTTCCACTAATTAAGGCTGTTGTCTACAGTAGTAGACACATATAATAACATAGTTGTTTTCCCAAGAACCTTGAAATCCAGGAGCATCATAATTCACAACAACGAACCTTTTCAGGTTATCTGTTAGTATTCCATTATTTTCAGGAAAACAAAGATTATAGTTCACGCTTCCAATTGCGGAACATGATGGCCCGCTTCAGTTTGGTGGGCAAAGTTGAAACACACTAATAGATTTAATTTCAAGCATGAGAAGGATCATGTTATCCAGTAAATTTTATGGGAAAGTCACAGAATAAAGGGGGACTTACTTGAATTTTGATGGCCTGACGGCGCATGTGAAGAAACTCTTTCCTCATCTTCCAAGTTCGAAACCTATACTGTATTCGTGCAGCAGCTGCCAGCTGTTTCTGCATCTCATAGTTGCGGAAAGCATGCTGAATCTTCATTGCTGCAATTATATTACGTGCTTCCATTTCTGGATTTGAAGACTCGACTGCTTTTGTCCGCACTTTCAGAGCACGCTCCCTGAATGCAGCCTGGATACGGGCAGCTGCATCTGCAGCTGTACGATAAGCTGTTAAACTATCTTTCAGATTTAGCTCTTCCTCTGTGAAATTCCCGGGGTTTATTGATTCAGTAGTCGTCTGGAGTGAACCACTGATATTTCCTGCTAATGTCATATCCTTAAATTGTGCAACTAACGCCTTCTCAGCGAGATAAGCCCCCAAACCCTCATGACCATTTTTGGATGCAAGATCGGAAGCAGTACATCCACCAAGGTTTTCTGAAGTGGGATCTGTGACCAAATTTGGTTTTGCTCCAGCAGATAAAAGAGTTGCAACCATTTTTTCCCTGACAGTCCAAATGCTCAACTATAAACAACCTTAACACTTGAAATGACCAAAACAATCGAAAATATATGTTACATTTTGGTACTACTTTCTTTATCGCTAGTGCGAAGAAATTGGATGAAAGTGGGTCATAAGGTGGTGGACAGCAGTTCAACTTCAACACAACCAAAATAGAAACGAAAGAATTGAATGATAGATAATTGCAACATTCCAGAGCTGTAACTAAGGATACCTTCCATAATAAGCAGCCCAATGGAGAGCTGTCCATCCATATTTGTCTCGATAATCCAATGACAAACCGGACCAGGAAAACGGATATACAGCCCAAGTGTAGCCTAGGATAGCACACAAATGGATCACTCCTTGACCTTGCTCGTCATGTTCTGAGATTTTACATCCTTCGACAACTCTTTCCAACAGCCATTCCTGTAGTCTGGTTTTCAAAGAGAGCTCAAACAAGCAGTCTTTTGCATGTGGGACAGAGACTTTCTTGTCTTCAATTGATTTGATCAGACAGGCCCAATCATCAATGATGTGAGAACATTTTCCAGCAAATTTTTTTGCATCTTTCAGCAAATCTTGATGTATTTTACTGGATAGGATATTAAGGCTCTTAGATGTAGAGAACAGCAGATGAGCAAGCCTCATTTGATTTCTAAATTCATCCCAATCAGATTTATTCTCCGGGGGTTCTGTCCAAACATGTACTGAAGGAGCTCGAAACTCAAAGCTCATGACTTGACTAATAGGTTTATTACCATCGAAACTTAAATAAATGTTTACCAGTCCAGGGGTTTGAGGAGAAACTATGCAACGATATACCCCAGGTTGCAGAACTTCTGCAGGAAAACAAGCATCTCCACAAACACAACGCAAGCTAGAACTTTCTAGATGTGATTGTTCTCCATGAAATTGCCCAATGACACAGATCTGTAATCATAGACAAAAGGTAAAACTGTCAGATCATAGCTCAAAATACATGTCTATCTTGACCATGGCAAAGAACTTGGCAAACTATAAGAATAATATCTAAAAGTTTAAAGAGGTAAAAAAGATCACTTTGATAATTGTACATATCACACACAAAACAAGTCAATGGCCACAGTATGCTATAACCTTTTTCACCATTTTTTCCTGAAATAGCTTACTAATCCTAAAACCCAAAATGTTATGTCAGGTCAGGTCTAACAAAGCCCTATTTTCTTCTAAAGCAAAATATATCGGACACATTTTTCTTGTTTCATTAAAAATGGAAAAAGTAACACAAACACATGAAGAGTAATTAAGCTTCCTTTTTTTTCTGATATTATCACTAATTTTTCATAGAATTTACTTAAAGCCAATATCATGGCAGACAACATTTTTCTTCTTGCAAGGAGAACTGTTGTATCAACCTAGCATGTGGGTGAAGAAAGGACCTTTGTTTCTTCAGTTGAAGGAGCCCACGCAGGCAATATTTCTGTTATGTTGAATATCTGCTCCCTTGCATATGATTGACCTGTTGACACTGAAGATTCGGGAGTTGGATCGTCTATGGATTCTGGAGAATCCTTGATAAGGTAGTTCATCCACCTTCCAAAGCTATCCTGAGTTTGAAGTCTATCCTGGTTCAGACTATCCAAGGAATCGCCTGTGCTCACTGTCATTACTCCGGACTCATTCTTCTCAAAACTTGAAGTCATTTGACCATCCACTGTCTGGAAGGTGATCTCATTTGAATTGTTGAATGTAGAAATTCTCTCAAGAGAAGAGGAGACACCACCCTACAAGTACACCAATATTAGTAGCCAACTAAAAGAAAGGGGAAAAAATAAGATATTACCGAACACCAATCAGTTCAAACAAAAGAAAGATAAAACCAGATGGAAGGTATTTGACAATTGCTAAGAATGGATTTAAAGCAAGAGAAACTTTGGTCCTTAAATGATTCAAAGATAGCATACACAACATGATCAGATCACATATACACATGGTGTGTGAATGCATGGAATTAAAAAACAAATGAACACTGCAAGGAATAAGTGGAAGATAATCTTACTCAAGTGTCAAAATTGAAATTAAGAACACCATAACCTCAAAAATTTGTGTTCAAGAGAATAAACATATTTCCGTAAATCATACATGTGAGTTGCAAAGTCGAGGAAGACATCGTTTTACTACTCTTAGTTAGGTGTATCTCATTCCAAGTCACCACACTCATACACCAAGATGATTACTCTAGCTTCTTATAATATATAGTTGATTTTAAACTTCAATAAAACAGGAATTCTATTGGTTTTTTGGTAATAACAATAAGATGGAAGTATTTTTCATGCATGTCTGTGCAAAGCAAGATACTAAGAATTTCAATTCAAGTATCAAAATCAACTTGTCAATTTATTTGATCATAAATACATACAAGTAGTTGTACATAACTCTCCACTTCTGATTTTAAGGTAGACACTATACACTAAGTTATTTAATCTCAGATGAAGAGTATTTAGTTTAGGAAATTAAGTCGAAAATCTTTTGAAGAGCTTGCTCTCTGATGAACCAAATTTCCCTAAAATGGCTCAAGGGGAAAGGTTCCTCCCTAAGATACTTTTACAACCAACAATGGAGAACTACAGAATTATCCAAATCAAAGAACACTACTTGTCTTTTCATTGATAGCATAAGCTATGTGAAGATATAAATAGAATATAACAGCAAAATTGAGAAGATAAAAATGATGAGAGAAAAATGTGAGTTGGGGACAATTACAC